ATTAGAAAAAAGGTTACTTCACAAGTCAATTCCAGGTCCCTCTCCGTTTCTCTCCCCTGCTCCCGTGCCTTCCCCCCAACCTCCCCATATCCCCTCATTCCCCCAGGGAGGGTGAGGCCCTCCATGGGGGTGTCCATAGTCTGTCATTTCATCCAGGGCAGGGCCTAGACCCTCCCCCAAGAGTTCAGGGTGAGAGTGTATCTCATGTTGTTGGATGGGAGTCCAAAGTCCATTTGTATACCCATGATAAATACTGATCTACTACTGCCCAAGGCTCAATAGATTACCTAGGCCTCCTCACTGACACCCCCATTCCGGGGGTCTTGATCAGTCCCATGCTGGATTCCCAGGCATCAGCCTGGGATTCAATAGTTAACCCTTGTCAGGTCAGCAGTTTCTGGGGGTTAAACAAGCTCTGTCTTAATCCCTTTGGTCATCAGTCCTCCCTCTCTGTTACTGGCTTTCTTGAGATCAGCTCAGCACTTAGCTGTGGATGTCTGCCTCTGCTTCCATCAGCCACTGAATGCAGGTTTTGTTTCCCAGACTCTCTGGCCATAGGATTGTAGGCTGGCACTCCCCAGCCCTACGTCTAAAATCCATGTATGAGAGAGTATATGCCATGTTTCTCTTTTTGTGACTGGGTTAACTCACTCAGGATGGTTTCTTCTAGTGCCATCCATTTGCCTGCAAATCTCAGGATTCCATTGTTTTTTTTTTCTGCTGAATAGTACTTAATGGACCTAAGTTTCATGACAAAATGTCTTCATGTTTCTTATACATATTATATGTATATCTTGAAGATACATTTAAATAGTAAAATTGTAAATATAATTAAAAGATAAGTATAAAATAAGTCAGTTATAAATGTTTTAATTAGGATATCATGTTTTAGTGCAACATCTTTCACAATGTAAAGGGATTGAGATTTCATATTTTTGAAAAAATTAATGATATTAAACAATGTATATGTCTTCCCCTTGTTTCACTTTCATTAAGTGACCACAGTATATGTAAATGAAAAACTTAAATTGCTATATTCATTAATAAAATTGAGTTCTATAATCTGAATTAGTAGTTTTTCTAGCAAGAATATTTCATTTCCTTAGCATTGTTCAGAACACAAAGAAAGGTGACAAAGTCAACATTCTGTTAATTTATGGATAACATATTTCTATTAGAAACTGAATGAAAATGTTTATCAATCCTCTAATATAAATCACTATAGTCATTTTAATCATGTGTTATATAACTATTTCCAAAAATTCCAATTTAAAACATCAAAAACACTCTCCTAGAAGTAAGGACGTTTCAGACAAAGCCTAGAAAATTTATTAACACAAGGTTTCATTCTGGGTATGACTTATTTTTTTATGTGTCTCTTCAACTACTGTTTAGACTATACAAATATACTACATTTTTGCAAATTTGAGTTATCTCAGTTTGGGTATATTTAAATAAAATTTCTGACTTAAAAATCTTGTAAAATTGAGTTCAGTACATATATGCTCTTTTGTTATCTCTATAGTTAAAACAAGTTGGAAATTATAATTATTTGGAAAAATTAGAATTATTGGAGACTACCTGTTGAATTTAAGATATGATAAACATTGATATTCAAATGAATAACTTAGGTCATAATGCTTTTCAATTATTTGTGGAAGTTATCAGTTTGATATTTTAGAATAAAATAGCTTTTAGGCTATAACAGCCATTTTATGTAGTATAAGAATTACTGTCTATTTAATGTGTACTTTATTTGTTGAAAATACTTGAATGCCACTTCTTTACAACAACTGATGTCATCCTTATTCTCTTTCGGACTTAAGGTCACAGAAGTGACTCATATTAAGCTATCAAGTCACAGGCATATTTGTAGAAGACACAGTAGTCTTTGGATGATTATTTCAATGTTGGTTAACAGTGAACTAGTTAATTTCAATTATAAAACTGTGTCAAACTAGAATCAAGTGGAAATAAACTCTTTTCAGAAATTGTTACCACTGGATTGTCCTTTGGGCATATCTATGGGGCACATTCTTGTTTGCTTATTGTTTTAGGAGGGCCCATATTGGGAAATTGTCTCCCTAAGTAGGTGGGTCCGGTCTTTGTAAGAATAGCTTAACAGATCCTGGGAACGGGAAAGCCGGTAAGTAGCACTCTTTCATAGTTCCTGCCTCTATTTCTGCTAGTGTTCATATCCTAACTTCCTTCTTTTGTGAACTTAATCATATACACCTCTTACTTTCCTAGTACCTTTTGATCATGATGTTTATTATAGCAACAGGAAGCAAACTAGAACATATAGAGTTTTATAAAAACTACTGTGTTCAATCATTTTTGACAACCTGTGGTGTCTCATTACCTTTTGTTTATTTATAGCTAGTGTCCACATTGTCCTTGAGTTACATCACAAGCCCACACCTATGCTTTTGGGTGTGTTTTCTTCTTTCCCAGAACACCATTATTTTCATTTTCATTAAACTGAATTCCTTTACACACTGACTCAATCTCAAATTCTTTTCTTTTTTATCTAAACCATGAATCTCAGCTCTTACTGGGGAGAGTTCTCTAAAAATAACCCTTGAGACAGCTGTTGGTGGTAGTGCTATGTGGAGGTGTTCCTACATATTGCCTACTACTACCAGGTCTCACAGCACAATGACAGAGAAAACTCATATAGAATTGATATTAAATAAAAATGACCCTTCCTTCTTCTAAATTAAATAATCTGAAAGATAAATTAAATTTAAATAAGAAAATTGGAATAATCCTCTTAAGAAATACAATTTAAATAGAGCCTAGATTCCTAGGTCATTAGTGTATGACAAAGTTATTTCTCAGTCTGAGTGAAAATACAGTTGTCATATATTAAAAATAAGCTGATAATAGGTTCATTGCTGTTACAGGGTTTGTATGGAATTACATACAGTAGAGAAAAGGCTGCAAAATCCTGTTTTCAAAGATATTAAGTTTAAGGTTCAGAGATTTAAAGTATTTTTGTAGTTTTACGTGTGTGTGTGTGTGTGTGTGTGTGTGTCCTGTCTGTGTGTGTGTGTGTGTGTGTGTTAATGTGCACGCATGTGCACACAGCTGCTATGGCATACATGTGGAAGTCAGAGGCTAACTTGCTCTGGCGTCCTGGAGTCATTTCTCTCATTCTACCATGTAGGTCAAGGAGATTTAACTCAATTCTGTGAGCACTTATTTCAAGCAACACTGGATAACTTATTAGTGGGCTGATTCCTGGAGAAAACTAGTTTTCTCATGCTCAGTAGTCATTAATTTCCTGTATCACTTTATCTATGGGTAGGACTCTATGAAATTTCCCTTATCCAACTAATTTCAAGTTTTATTTATGCTATTTGTTTTTTCCTAATTCAATAAGAAATTGTTTCATTTTTCTTCTTATTATTAGTAACTTCAAATCTCTTCCTTCCTCTCTATCCTGTAACTTGCTAACTTGACATTGCACCTTAAGCATTGCCCAAACATTGATTGAGGAGCCTGTCTCTTTATAGTATGGGATATATTTAGTAGCTGTGCAACTATGGGTTTATTCTGTATTTACATTTTTAATTTCTATATTTCAGTTGACCAGAGCACCCAATGTATTTTCTTTCTGTGGACATTAAATGGTATAACGCATCTTAATCAGTGTACCCAGGACATCTCCACAAATACCATATATTCCTAGAGAAACACTGCTCCCTTTCTAAAGGAAAGCTTTTTGAGCAGATCATTGTGAACTTGACATATTAAATTAATAGGGTACAGAGACAGCATATGAATAATAGAGTTACTGAAAACAAGCAACAATTTGCCATTGTGAAAATCAGTCACCCAAAGAGATAGAGTCAAGAGGAGAGAAATGTAACAGTCTTCTAACTTTTGCTTATCTCACTCTAAAATGTATGCTTTAGACCTTTGCCATACACACAGCCTTACACACAATTTTTAATACATATGACAAAATTCTACTTGAATTTTGATAAAATTCCCAGGTTTTATTTATCATTAAATGAGTAGTATCATTTAAATTTTAGGGTGCTGTTTCATCTTAAAGTAGCCAATAATGGAATACTGAATTTGTATTTTTATGCTAATGAATAGATGTTAGTTTTAATTTCACTACAAACAGACTATTGAATGTCTTTTCTATTAAATTTACTAACAAACAGCAAAGAGGCTAACTTTAAAAATAATGTTGTGATGAAAGATATTTCATCTCCCTCCCCTTTCCCATGCATTTTCCCACAATTAAAAAACCCTCTAACCTATCTCTGCTGTGTGGTGTCTTTCTATCATTCCCTACTTTTAAAATTAGGCAAGATAATTGTTGCTTTCTCATAAAAGCTATTATATTAAATAGAGTTAGAGTTAAGCATTGCTTAATAAAATAGAACTAGCACTTCCATTGTCTGATCGCAGAGAAGCAGAAACAAACACTATTTGTGACAATAGACCTTCAGAACAGATATATGAGATACATAAAAGTTGTGTTAAACCATCTTATTCTCAAATAATATTATATTCCCAAAAGATTTTCCCAAGTGTGGGTTTTTGTCGAGCACAATTTAAATTATGTTCAGTGGTTCTATGGAGACAGCTTATTCGGTAAAATACTTCATATGATAGCATGAGGAATTGTCTGCATCCTCAGCAACTAGAGACATTGTTGGATGCAGTAGTGCATGCCTTTAATACTAGTGAAAGTGGAGACTGAGACTGGCAGATAATTGTTTCTGATTGATCAGCTCCATAGCCTTGACAAATTAGTGAGCTCCAGGTTCAGGGAGAGATCTTGTCTCAAAATGAAAACTAGCAGTGGAAGAAAAATACCCAACATCAAACACTGGTTTTAACAGAGCCATATAAATCATTTCTTCCAAATAAAATACAACATGGTCAAGATGTCTTAGGTTTATGTAGTCATACAAATCAACATAGGAACTGTCCATGAAAGAAAATAATCTAAGACAATGTTTTACAATAACCCAATTTTTATTCTTTTCCTCGTTCCTCAACTACACAGAAGAGATTGCTCATAAGGAAGGTAAAAACATCCAGAAACCCCAGTATTATCCGTTGTTATTATTTTTTGTATTTTATTGCTTGCCCTCAAATCACGGACTTTAAATGATCACAAATAAAATAAGTTCATGTGTTGTCTCATCTTTCAGAACTTTAAGATCAGTATAGGCCATTGTAAACACCTCACAAAGCAGACAAGGATGTTCTAATTCAGCATCTGGCCCATCTAGATAAATACTTAAATCTTCACATTTCTTAAGATTTTGTTTTGTCTGGTCATTCTGACACTCTGGTTCACCCTTGAGGCTCTGCCTGCCATGGCTGTCTAGCTTTGTGAGGCCTTTCTCTGGACAGATTCTTTCTAAAATATCACCAAAGTCACGGGACTCCTCAGCATGAACATCTTCCAAAGCACAGAAAATAGAGATAGTCTTTGTTTTTCTTTCAACTGAAGGCCGATTCATCCAGAAAAGCAATTCTGCTGGGCAACGACTTTGCTTCAGTGTTACTTCCTTAAGATTGAATAATGGCTTGTTAATTCCATCTCCTCTGGACCTATTTACCCTTGCCAGGCTGATGTTCAAGTTCTTTGTACCAATCAGGTATTACGGTCTTTGATGTGGTGAGCCTGGTTTGATTCCTTTGGTTAAGTGACGGCCTTCAGAGCAGTTCAATATGAACTTGCATGCGTACATTGAACATCAAAGAAGCCATGACATAGAGAGAGGGGAAATTGATGTGCAGCCGCCAGGCCAGCCTGAAGAACAGAAGCATTGTGCGGGTCAGTATTGGCCCAAAGCCACCATAACTGCGGGTCATAGGCATAAGTGACCGATCATTCATACCCAGTGGAGCCATAGACGTGTGGAGGTTGGCACTCCCACTGCCCGTAGGCACACTGCTTCGTCTTGGAACTTCTCCTTGGCCACTTGTTGTCGACCAACAAAACCAAGTTTAAGAGAGACAAAACCACAGGTCGTTTGTCCAAGAGATTCTGAAAATCTGTGCCTCATAATAGCTGTCAGCCTGTGACCTCACAAAGCCCACCTGAGAATGTGGCAGTATGCCAATGCTGACCCCAGCTTTTCCACTTCCACCAACTTTAGCCACCTCACGATGGATATGTTTGGCAAAGTACTCATGGTACCTTTGGACTTTGAAGGAATGATGTTAAATCTATTTCCTTTTCTAAGCAAAGAAACTGCCATACATACTATTTGTCCTGATTAGAAGCGATAAATGCTTTCTGTCTCAGATGTAGTAGTGGGTACTCTGAAGACTTAGACCACTTACAAACCTATTTGTCATAGATATCACATGGAGAAATCATGTTTTTGTACACTAGCCCTTCTTATTGTTCCCAACTTTGAAAACTGTTCTAGAAGTGTTAATTTTGATAAACCAGTAACATAGCTTCCTCTGGATAAGGGGAGGGATGACTCACATTCCATGATTTGTGAAATTGCCTGAGGTTTATATAATCTATACTTATTTATATTTACATTTTTAATTTTGCATGGTTTTAATTTCAGATAAAAATTTTAAAAATCCAACAATATATAATATGCAGGTACACTATTCTGTGGGAGTTTTTTTTTGCCTTAAGGCACAAAGGTTCGAAAAGATCCTCTAGACATGAACTGAGAGCTAGGTGGGTCAAAGCCAGTGAAGACCGACACAGAGAACTGTAACAGAGGGCAGGGTCTTCCCAGGGGTCCACTTCTTCCATTCAAGAGGCATCCTCATCACCCTCGAATGGGGGAATCTCATCAGGAACAGCAGCTCTCAACTCCTCTGTTGTCAGCTCATTTTCTTAAGTGACCAAGCCCAGTTTGATTATGATGTAGATGTGGTTGGAGTGGGTCTGGGGGATCTTCAAGAGAGAAAGCAGGGGAAATCAGAGCAGTTTGAAAGAGCAGCACCACTAGGTCCTTGACAGTTTTGCCATATTTGTCTATCTCAGGCTTCTGCTGCAGGTTCTCCACAATGGGTTGGCTAGGATTGATCTCTAGGTTACTTTTGACCCTCAATTATCCCATTGTAGAATTTTTTCCAAGTTCCAGGGCTTTCATTATCTGTTCCATGATGGTGGTACAACTACTTGTGCTTGTCACAGTGCAGCAGAGAGAAGACACAGGCTTATGGGAGATTTAACCTTCTCATCCTTCTAATACAAGATCTCCCCAAAAATGTCAACCATTTATAATATTTTGATGGTTAGTGACCGACATCTTCCTCAATACAATCTATATGGATCAGCAATCATTGTATTCCCATTTTAGGAATAAAGAAAATTAGGTTAAAATAGTGTAAAATAGATGAAATTAAGGTTTGCTAGATGGTTGAGCAGGTAAGAGCTCTGGCTGCTCTTCCAGCGGTCCTGAGTTAAATTCCTAGTACCAACATGGGAACTAACAACTCTTGAAGCCTGCAGTTCATGGTATATGATGCCCTTTCTGATGTGTATCTACAGACAAAACACCCATATAAAAATAAATAAATAAATAAATAAATGAACCCTTAGTTTAAATTTTTTATTTTAAAAAGTTACAATAAATTTATCATTGTTAAGAAGATGTTGATTAAAAGTCTAGTCTACATAAAACTAAAATACTAACTTAAATGTTGTCAGATACTAATGTAAAAGTTAATTATTAATATTTCCTAATATTAAAGTACTTCTGGACTGATTAGATGGTTCATCCATTGAGAATTCTTGATGTTCTTCTACAGGATTCATATTCAATTCCCAGCATCCACAAAGAAAATAACAACTGTCTGTAACCCCAGTCTCTGGGGATCTGATACACACTTTTAACTTCTGTAGATACTAGGTACTCTATGGTATATAGATACACATGCACGCAAATCATCCATAAACACTAAACATATAAATGGAATTTCAAATGTTTGAAAGTACAAAAAATTGAGGTAGTTAGGTATCAGCTGATCATAGGTGTCCATGATAAACACATGGCGGACAATTTGATGTTGTTCTTTTTTCACAAAATGTAATTCATCAAAGAAGGAAAGGCAATGCCCTGAATTCCAACTGTAGAGAAGTACTTATCTGCCAGATGGTCTTCCCAATTGTTGGTGAAGCTCTTCTAGATTTCATCATATTTCTCTTGAATGATGTCATCAGGGTTTATGGTTTAAATAGGTTTAGTCTTCAGCTCTTCCTGATCAATGTGTTTCTTATTAATTTTCTTTGTCCTCTCCACTGGATCCCCCATCTTCAATCTTAGGCTTCTCTTTGTCATTCTTATCCTCCTCCTTTTCTCACATCTATTATTCTGCATCATCATCATTGATTTCATTCTCTTCTTTGTTATCAAAAAAAAAAGATGAAAGGATAGCCTATGTACTGTATTTCCTAATTCCTTGACCCTCCTCTCCTCTAAATGTTCTGTCTTGTCTTCTTTGAGGTAAAGGATCATTTTGGTACTCCAGCCAATGGGCTTATAATGTTCTGAATCAACTGAACATTCCACAAGAAGAATACCCCCAAGCATACCACTCATCATGATTGTGCTTTGTGATCATAACCACATTCTCTGCCACTAGATTGGCCAAGTAGAATCAGACACCAAACTGCCCAATCATAGTGATGTCTACTCCAGCCTGGAAAAACTGCATGAACACTTTTGTTCGAGACTTAGAAATGGTTTCCACATTATATATCAGATCAGCCTTGGTCAGGCCAATGCTTTTGCCCAACAAATTCAGGGTTCACTCCTGAGGACTGGGGATGATGTCATTTTTTTCAGTACTTTTCCACTGTCAAACTTGTTATGGTCATTCAGGCTTTCATAACGAATCTTATTCAAGGCGCCAGAAACATTACAGATTGACTCCATAAGGAAAATTTCTTGATTTGAATAGAAATTTTGAGAATAAGTTACATAAGCTGAGTGATTTCTGTCTCTTCCCATACATTGTTTATTTCCTTATGCATCTTGAAACATTACAGATTAACTCTATAAGGAAAATTTCTTGGCTTGAAAATTACATGAGCTGAGTGAGTTCTGTCTCCTCCCCTACATGCATCTTGACACAAAAGCCACATAATAGTGCGAAGGAGGGTGAGGTCAGACAGCTGTTGTCTTACAAGTCAAGCCTAGATTGCATGGCATAGAATAACTTATGGTGTAGGCTTCAATGGACGCTGTAACGATACGCGACACACAATTACTGACAGTAAAGCTAAGTATTTAATGTAGAAAATTACTCACAAGATACCAAACCCAGAGGAGCCAAGCAGTTCTCAGCTAGCTGCTGGACCGGAAGCCGAACTCCAGGAAAAGAGACCGAGACTTCCTGTGTGCTGTCTTTTATGCCTTCCCCCGTAACGCCCCTAGCCATGCCCAAAAGTGGGCCTGGCTAATGACGTAGTTCCGTCTACGTACGTATACATCTTTACGTCCAGCCGTATACATCTTTAGTCCTGCCTAAAGTGGGTGTGGCTAGCGGTGTGGTAAACCGCCCTTTTATTACCTCATCTGTATGCACCTCTAATAAGTCACATGTTTAATGGCGGCATCAGACTTCCTCCTACATATGGAAGCTTGTATTTACAGGTTTTAAGCATCTTGAGAAGAAATGTATACCTAGAGAGATAAGTTGGTGGCTATCAGTGAGTCATGCTCTCACAGAGTCAATTCCAAGAACACAGCATGAAGCTCACTTTCACCTGTAGCTCCAGTTACAGGAATTAAAATCCTCTGGTTTCAACCCATACCTGCACATCCACCCCCAACTGCCACACACACCCCTGCCCAAAGCACACACTCTAAAAATCACATATATACATACTATTTTGCAAAAACTTTTAAAACCTTAAAACAATAAATGTAAAGACAGCAATTATGAATTGCTTCCAGTTATTATATTTTTATCACAATAAACAAAAGTCCCATGCATTTCATCTTTCTTAGCTTTTAGTTTTTTTCTAATAATTTTCTTAAAACTTGTCTAACATGACTGTGGTGGAAAAGTGGCTAACATGGAAACAAACACATACTGCTTAACTTTATTTAATGTCTTAAGTAATTTTGTATATAATATAAATACAATTGTTTAAAATGTGTAAATATTTACCATTTCTTTGACTACATCTTTGGTGAAATGCATTCATGTTGTCTTTGAGAAAATTTGATTTCTTTCTGAATGATATTTTTTTCTTCAAATGAAAATGTAGTCTGTTACTTCTTGAAATGTTGGAAATATCCAGTTTCTTCCTATTCTTCACTAAGTGTTAGCTGAAAAGATGTACAGTAAAATAATTATTTTCCATAATAATATACCTTCTTTCCACAAGCAACTTTCTTGATTTTTTCATATATCACAAATGACTTTATTATTGACTTTTGTTAGCTGACTAATTTCTTTTAAGAGTATTTGCATACAACTCTATTCAAACTAACTTTGTAAAGTCAGTTTTTTATAAAATATACCATGCAATAGGATTGAGTGATTTTTGCAGCTCTATATTACACCTAAGTTGATGAAAAGTTACTTACAAAGCTTCATATTCTGAAATTTCTTTTTGGTTTTTCGAGACAGGGTTTCTCTGTATTGTTTTGGAGGCTGTCCTGGAACTCACTCTGTAGACCAGCCTGGCCTCGAACTCACAGAGATCTGCCTGCCTCTGCCTCCCGAGTGCTGGGATTAAAGGCGTGTGCCAACAACACCCGGCCTGAAATTTTTTCTTAATCAAGATAGTTACTTATAGAATCTTATAGTATTAATCTGTTCATACACAATTATCTTTACCACTAGAATTAATGAATTACTTTTGTAACTCAATGTGATTAGCTGTTTATAACTTTAAATAATAAGAACCAAAAGACTGTAACTCTCACAATATTTTGGTATTTATAGTAATTAATGTTCTATATTTAAGTTGCCATTTCTTCTTTAATTTTTGTTTCTTTATTTGTTTGCCATAAATATTCTTATTAAACATGT